GACCGTCCGGGGCCCCTCCGCGTGGTGAATGGCAACATGCAACAAACGGCATATCTTCTGAGTGATTAATTCAAACAGTAGGCTATTGTTTCACAGTTTTTACACAGCTGCCTGCCCTGGACGGGACTTTGAACAGAAGAGGCTGACTAGTACTGCCTGTGTGGAAGTCCCTCGCTCAACAAAGTCGTAGAGTAAGATAGTTATTGAGGTGTAAGTTATTATCATACCTCCAAACTGAGAGCCAAGACGGCTGGTAATTCAGTCAAATTAATCGCAAGTTCTGCTTGTGAGTATAAATTTGTTACTACTGACTGGAGTTCAACAGCTACATTTATACTTGCTCCTCTGTAATCGAAGTGAGCCGTTCCTAAAAGTCAAACGGTCATTGAATTAAGGGCTATAAGTTGGTAACTTATAGTCTCATACCTCGGGAAGAACGGGGATTCTCAGAGGTGGCCCCCCACTGGGGCTGACGGATCGGATGACGTCAAGCAGATACACGAGAAAATCACCACCCTGTGTCTGTATCGGTACACTGAGGTTGACCCAAATATTCTCCATCGGTGAGGGTCCGCTGTTGGAGATGAGGAAAATGTGTTTCACCTCGGGTCCCAGACTCTCCGGATGTACCCGTTGACGTTCAATGAATTGCGAGGAGAAATTGCGCGTATCAATGATCGTGCGGTCAACAGAGGATGAGGAGATCTAAAGGGAGTGGAGAGTTTTTTGTGAACTAGATAGCAGAACTAAGACGAGGAGGATATCAGGTCCCAGACCTCGAAGCTAAACGTAAGCCTTTGTACAACTTACAAATGCATAATACTCTGTTACTTATCGCAAGAAGTTTAACAAACAGATTGACCAAAAGGCCAAAGATGCATGGTAAAATTGATTACTTCGATTTCACGAGGCAAGTGGATGAAACAGGGAGACTGCCGAAATAGTATGTAATACCATATCAACAGGAATTGAAAGAGGCATTTGCACACACACACACACATGTCGCTCTGTTATTGTCTATTCTGTTAGGATGATTGGTTGGTCATTTTTTATTATCAGTTCCCACAGGCATTGTTTGTCAGTTTTGAGAAATTCTAACACTTAATCGAGTTTAACCTACCTCCACGTTAGCGAACAACTCAAGGTTGTACGTGAAATGTGCCTTCACCTCCTCGTCCTCGCCGAGGTTCTCATTGTCGCTGGTTATTTCAGCAGTGACGGTCAGGGATTCGGGTGGTTGCCAGACTGGCTCCTCCTTGT